TAGGAGCAGCTGGGAGGACAGCAGGACACGGTGAGTAGTACTGTTTTACTACTTACTATTGTCATACAACTACACGCTTTAAATAATTGTTGCCCGTGTTTGTATTTGTAAAATCTGTCTCTAATCAAAACCCATAACGTAGTAAATATGATTTTAAATAGAATCGTAATTTTGTTTACCGGTATTAAAGAAGCAATATGGACGAGAAATTGAATGTTTTCTCACGGTCGTTTGATACTACATGCTATAGAAGAGATTGTAATGTGATTTATCAGAATCAAAAAGCATAACTCTTGTAACGCACTAAATAATATTTGTTCAGTGAAAAAACAAAACACGATTCTACGGTTTGATATTGTACGTACTAGCAAAATCAATGTAAATACAGAGATTGCAGAGTCATAGGTTGATAATGCGCATGCGTGAGTATCACATACAGAGCAAACATGGCTGCGCTGCAGAAAAGTAAAGCTTGGTCTTTCCTTACCAAGTCCGTTAAAAGCGCACCATCGCGAGAAGGAATGCCAGGAAAATAAATATTTTTGACAACATAGAGCGATGGGCCACGAATAGGTCAGAAGTGAATTTGCAAACCACTAGTAGAAGATTTTTTATGAATCGGTAAGTTGACTGATTTTATAATTTTTTTTTAATTAGGCTACACCGATTTAATTTTATGGATGACATCCGCGCGCGCATTAGTTTTCGCCTGTTCTCAAAAAAAAAAAAAAAGAAAAAATCTCCGACGACTAGTCTCCACAGATCGTTTTTCTGTTCGGAACTTGCCGACTCATATTGTCGCAAAGCGCCGACTTGTCGTAAAACTCGTTTTAGACTATCTCAAAACCAAACTCCGCACAGTTAGATGCGCGTTACGTAAAGCGCAAAGACCTATGGGAAAGAGATTGCCTCAAAACATGCAAATTTTGCCATAAATGATCCAACATGGCGACCACACCACCAAAATACGTGAGCATAAAAGTTCAGAGGTGAAACGGAGGGATTGTTGTAGACTGGTACGCAATTGACGTTGGCCAGGCAGGTGGTGTAGGCCATACCGCAAAGCATCATGGGAATAAAAAGTCAGACCGTTTCATTTACGCAGAAGCTCGCACCGCGATCACACGCTGAACAACAGGCACTGTATTTACCCGATTTTTTTTGCATTTTACGAATGGTAAGTATCCCAGGCTCTCTTCGTAAAACTTTTCGATGCACATAGTTGTTTGAAGGTTAATAATATTGACACTTTTGTGTGATATTATTGAAATGTAATGGCTGAACGTACGTGTGTTGTTGAGCCTTGAGTTGTTTCCGGGTTCTTCCGTTAGTAATATTCGACGCTATTACGCATTATATGTATATATTGTTCAGTATTTAATAACCGAACTATATGACATGGTTCGTTACAATTACATTATTGATGGAAAACAAAACTTGGTGAAAATGGCGGCGTTTAAGCAATCCAACAACGAAATTCTTAAGTTCTATTTTATAATTAAATAATTATTTTCAGTATTCTTTGTCAACTTGTCGTTATAAAATGACTAGCGGGGTTATAATGTCATTACGTGGATACATCGTGATTCTGTTTTGTTTTGCCAGGTTAAACAATGGGCATTAATAAGTTGTACAGTGAGTTGCACAATGCTACAATGCCAGTAAGACTAAATGAATTTAGTGGCAAAACTTTAGCAGTGGATGCATTTATTATATTGCACAAAGGATGTTGTAACTGTTGCAGACAGCTTGCTATGAAAATACCAACAGATAGGTAAATTTATACTATTCTTGATTTTTTTTAAATATTATATTTTGTTCGTTTGAGCTGTAGTATTATCAGTGTGTATTCTATTCATTTTGCCATGTTGTTTGTTATACCGGACTCAGTAAACTCCATAGCCATAAAGTTTATGTTGACTTGTACCTTCCTCAAAAGATGGGGGTAAAATAAAATTGATACCTCAATAAATCAGAATAAATTATAACCACATGTATACAGGGAATGGATACATAAGAAGAAGAAACACACATTTTCCCCCCCCTTTTTGCAGAGCTTTATCACATTTTAATATCTCCAAATTTAAATTATTGAATCAAAATCACTGCCTATCATTGATTGTTAGTGTTTTGGTCTTCCTATCCTTTGTTTGAGTCCGTGTATTTAGTTTGTTAAAAATAAATGGGTTAAATGTGCTGTTTCTGAATACCGAAGTATTAGTACTTTTCATGCAGTCGTCTGTTGAGTATCGAGTGCACCATGGAATGGCTATCTGTGTGTGGCTCGTATAGGTAGATCGTATAGTTGCAGGTAGGCTAAAGGAATAAGTGATAAATACATAGGCGTCATGAGGTATATGGTTTGACTGCTCACCCAGAACTCTGCTTTATTTACAATTAAAACTCACTTATATAATGTATTGGTATAGTTACATATAAAGAAGCTAAGAGGTAAATATTAATTAGTGAGTGGCCAGCTGCAAGGATTAAAGTGTGTGGGCCAAAGATAAAGATTATATGAGCTTAAGATTAATATAAACTCTTACTGGTACATAAACATTTATATAAACAATTTAAATAAAAGAATTGATTCCCAACTACCTGTGCATTACATTGATTGTTCATCAATTATTTTATATGTTCTTATTGCTAGATATGTCAAGTATTTCATGAATGTTGTACTGAATTTAAAGAATTTTGGTATTACACCATTAGTTGTATTCGATGGTCAGCCGTTTCCCGCAAAAGATGCTAAAAATGAGGAACGTAGAAGGTAAGTTATATCAATGCAATGTACCATTCATCAATGGTAGACCTGCTGCAGCAATATATCACGATAAAATCCAAAATATTATTTTATTTCATTACAATAATAACGTGTACCATTTTTTAATATGATTTTGATTTTTTTCCAAGAGAGCGTAAATATCTGTGGAAAAAGGGATTGCCCTGTGGGAGCAAAAGAAATATACTGAAGCTATGCCCAATTTCTTGAAAGGTGTTACTATATCTGAAGAAATGGTGCAAGCAGTAATTAAGGTAAATAAATATTGTCTAAAATCATGACACAATGATTTAATGTTAGTTATTCTAAAAAAGGAAATTCTCATGATTAAAATTTCATATTTAAGACAAAGGTAATTTTATATGTTCATACATGCAACAAGTGATGTTGCCATTAACTGGCTCTCTCTGTTATCATTATGTTAAGGCAGATTTGATGAAATTAAATATTTCTATTCATTTTCAGTCACTACGCAACCAAGACAGACTGTCATTGCTCCATATGAAGCACATTCCCCAAATGGCTTATTTATGTAAAAACAGGTGTGGTCGATTGGTGTCATTTACTGAAAACTCTGATGTCATTGTATATGGTGCATCAAAGGTAAAAAAGATTTTAAAAAATGTGTCATTCCAATTACATTTACTGTTTATATTGCCTGGTTAAACAATCCAGAATATTAATGTTTTTTGAAATTGTTTGTTTGCAGGTTTTCACCAAGACTGATTTCAGTAGTGGAACCTCCTTTTTAGTTGAAGCTGACAAGTTACCCCAATGCTTCAATTTAGAGAACTGGACTTTTACAAAGGTCAGGTATATTTGTATCTTAGCTGGATGCGATTACTTACCATCAATTCCTGGCATTGGGATAAAGAGAGCAATAGAATTTGTTTACAAAATAAAAGAAAAGGATATTTTGCAGGTGAACGTTGTTTTATTTATTACATGTTATTATGTTGCTCTGGTACCAGACAGGTGACAGAAATGTTTGACTACATAGAAAAATGTTTAACTTGGTTACATTTTACCATTTGGGTTGTGGTATTTCTAGTATAATATTTTTTTACTTCATTTAGGCTATTCCTAGGATGAGATACTATTTGAATCGTCAGGTCAATATCCCGGATGATTACTTGATCAATTTCACTAAAGCAGAGAACACGTTCAAATACCATCTGGTATTTGATATGGCAACACAGTGTGTTGTACCACTTAATGATTACACGGATGGATTATCACATATCAACATGCCATATGCTGGAAAGTATCCTTTTTACTTTACCCATATTAGCTGTATTGGAAGTACATGTGCTAAAGTTATTAAAAATGTGTGTTTCAATAAGCACTAATTCTAGCAATAACAGATTTACAGCCATAGATCTATGAACAGTCCAGTTAGGTTCCCATAAGCATTTACCCTGTATCATAATTAATTTTACTTGTTCCTAAGCAGACTGAAGAAACGGCATTTGAATTGGCTGTAGGAAATTTGTCTAGAAGCAACTTGCATGTTTTGAATCAGTATACACCTCCAGATATATTTACCAAAGTAAGTCACTTATAAATTGATATGCTATTTTCTGTTAACATGTTCAATCTTTATTTGTATTCTGCATGTAACTTACAAAACTGAGAATCCTTTGTATTTCCTGTATTCCATGTATGAAATAATAATCTGCTTAGAATTATGTGTGGCCAATATATAAATATATGACGACATGTGTGGATGGGATTCTCACTTTATTGCAATTGGAAATGGGTTTAGCTAAATACCTACCAGTGTGTGCGTGCATGTGTGTTGGTGGGTGGATTTGTGTGTGTGTGCGTGTGTGTGTGTAGATATATATATCAAGTTATTTTCACTATTAGTTGTGAATCACAGACATCACATTAGCAGAATAAATAATTTAAAAAAAATTTCTTCCACAGGTTAGAAGAAAAGTTACACTTCTCAGAGTTGAAAGACAGATTTCATGGACGCTACCATGTTGCCCAATCTTCACACTTCAACTTAAAAAAGTTAAAATCCAAAGTATTCTTGGCATAGAACTTGCTTTGGTAAAAGCATCAGATGAAAGAGTTAATACCTTGACGTTACCCTGTGATATAGACTGCAATAAATTATGTACTGTCATTATACAGGAAGAAAGATACCTCCTTTTATGGGACTGGGAAATGTTACAAGAAGATTATCATGATGATGATAGGCAGTCAGACAGGGTATCTGACCAGTTTGGAACTCTAGATTTATATTCTGATGATTATTCAGAAATTAGTTCTACTACTGGTAGTAGTATCCAACAAGAAGTATCTTCAGACGCTGAAACAACTCACACACTTGCTTTCAAAGTGCTTGGCAGTGCATACAAACAATGTTACCAAAATATTCTTGAGGAAGGTTCTTTAATGTTAAACAACTCTGAAGAAGTACTAGCAAGAATAGTTAGTGAACCAACTAATCCTATCAATGCACAGGCTATTGCTGTACAACTTAATTTAGTCATGGATGGGGAGTTGTAGATACATACCAGACGAGTTGCTGGAATATATTCACCCATTGCTGAATACAAATAAAATTACAGCAGTTAAAGTTCAGCACATAAAATTT